TTGTCATCACTTAATAGAAATATATGATATTAAGTTGAGTGAAATAACCTTTCTAAGCCATCTAATTGGCTATCGATATACCGTACATAATACAATAACAATAATGTTTCAACCATTATACATCTGGAAAATCTCGGTAGATGTGCACGCACAACTTTGGTTGACTACACTTTGTGAACTAAACAATCAGTGTTGCCGAACTACACAATCAGAGTGTTGTTGACTACTCAATTAGAGTGTTGCCGACTACACAATCAGAGTGTTAACGACTAAACAGTCTGAGTGTTACCGACTACACAATCGGAGTGTTGGTGAAACACAATAAAGAGTGTTACTGGCTACACAATCAGAGTGTTGCCGAGTACACAATTCAGAATATAAAGAGTGTTGCTAACTACAGATTGAGAGCGTTGCAGCCCTGACCACACAATCTGAGTGTTGCTGACTACTCAATTAGGGTGTTACTGACTACACAGTCAGAATGTTGCCAAATACACAATCAGAGTGTTGCCGACGACACAAATTAAGGTGTTACCGACTAGACAATCAGAGTGTTGTCGATTAAACAGCCAGTGTTGCTGATTAAACAACCAGAGTGTTGCCGAATACACAATCAGAGTGTTGCTGACTACACAACAAGTGTGCTGCTGACTACACAATCATAGCGTTGCTGACTACATTCACAGTGTAGGTGACTACTATCAGAGACGTTCTATTTCCTTGGTAAATAATTTTTTACTTTGTTTTAATCAAAAAGACTTTTAACTATTCAAGGCTATTGTTATTTTCATATGTTTATGAAATAACTTAGGTTATCAGCACTTAGTAATTGTCAGGATAGGCGATTTATTGATCAGATTGCATTCGACTGATTATTAAAATAGGATACTGTTTTATTGTAAGCCAAGTCATAATATAGGATCTCAAAATCTCAACACTTTTTATAGGAAATGTTTTTCTGAAAATAAATAATTAGGGGTGGATTTATTTATTATTCTAAGTTTAAAATAACCCACTTCAATGATAGATTAGATATATTCACCGCATTATTTAGGCTACTGCCATATCATTGAATAATTACCATATTAAGCATACAGAACAATATTTTGTCATGTTGTATCATACTGGGGATTTTTTTTTTATGTTTGCATTGATATTACTAAAATTGTAATAATAATAATAATAATAATAATAATAATAATAATAATAATAATAATAATAATAATAATAATAATATAGGTGTATATCAATTATACTAGTTTGTGATGTGCTGCCATAAATCATACCGTTATCATCACACAGTTGATTTATTCTCAGTTGTTTTATATTTAGATTTTGTAAAATAAACCAAGAATGGAAATGCAAGAGCCAACTGACATCTCTGGTGAAAATGTTAATTTTTCATGGACGTATTCATATTCAAACACAAGTTCAGGTAACATTATAATCAGCGTAATTATATAATTTCTACAATGGAATCGGAACTGAAGAATGTGTCTTTGGTTGAAATTATCTTGGAATTAGATCACAATTTTAACTTGAATCTGTAAACAGGGGTGGCGTTAGCGGGGGGCCGGGGTTCCCCTAACCCATCCACCCCCGTCGGGGACAGATGGCTCCTGTCGGGAAAAACAACCCCGATTGGTCGTAGAGAAAAAAATATATGTATTTTGTACATATTAGTAGACTCTAAAATCGATTAAATAAGCCTTTTTTTGGAAGGTGGGGGTGGGGGTGGGCCTTCGCCCCCTTGATCACTTCCAAAACATTTTAAGAGAGACTGGACCACGTCCACTTAGCTCTCGTCGGGGAAATCTTTCCCCTCGTGAGGGCACTGGCCTCCACCCCAACACGTCAGGGTCCTCAGAACCCTCCGTCAGGAAAATCTTTATGCATTTTTTTTCTCAAATTCCACAATAAATCAATGTAAAATCTGAAAAATAATTTTGCTACTTTCAGATCCTCTTGCTACTTGGCTCTTTGTACGAAATGTTATTGGGATTGTTTTCGCAAGTGTTGCTCTTGTTGGAAATGTTTTCACATTCATTGTTGCATTAGCTGTCAAAGAAATACGTAAGAAACTCAGTAGTTATCAAATAATAAACCTCGCCATGAAGGATGCTATTATAGGGGGGTCATGGATTTGTGTCAGATTCCCAATAATAGATTTAAGTATTGTTCCTATTATATTCAATTTGATGATGGTTTCATCATCATTCACAATTATAATGATAGCAATGGAACGTTGTTTTGCTATTGTCGCTCCATTTCAGCATACTCGGTACGTTACAAAAAAACGACTGATCGTTATAATAGTCATAGATTGGTTTGTTAATATATGTTTAGCTATTATACATCAAACTATAGATAGCCTTGATGGCCTATATGTTGTTATGAGATTTGTAATAATGTGCACGCCATTTTTAACCTTTATCGTATATCTATTGATTATTTTAGCTGTAATCCGATATGCTTCAGAGATTAAACAATTAGCCAATATATCCCAGAGAAAGAAAAGAAAACAAAATGTTAATATGATAAAAACATTCACATTGGTTGCTGGAATATTCGTCATATGCTATATGCCGTTTAGTGTACTTTATGAAATTTATAGATTCACCTTTTCATTAGGCCTAGTAAGGCCTCTCATCATTTTTGAGACGCTTATCCCATTCAATTCAGCAGCAAATATGTTTATCTACTGGTGGCGGATTCCTGAATTTCGAATAGTTTACATGCGGGCGCTGTGTTGTCACAAAACTACACGGGTTCCACATACACTTAAAGGTGTGTAGACCCTACCATAAGACGATTTTTAATTGCGTAAGGCACTATACAAGTCTATTGCCATTTCACCACTCATTTGAGTACGCATTTTACCTGGTTTTATAAAAAAAAAAAAACACATATTCATTTTAATCACAAAATAATTAATAGTATTTGAAGGATGTAGGGTGACATGTCTTCTAGGTAGGATCACAATAGACCTTTCCGGAGTGTCAATCAAACTTAACAAACGACTAATCAGAACAGCGCTAGGAATACGCGCGCGTCCCACAAAACACACGTGTTGTCTCACAAACGCACGTGTTCGCCTATGTTTTAACACTGTCGCCTTGTGGGACCTTAGCAACCATATCCAAGGGGCGGAGCTTAGCGGAAAGGTCCATAGCCCATTTGAGGCCTGTCCTCTAGTTATACAATCGGTCATTCTAAAATGACAAGCAATTTAATCCCCTGGTAAACAGAACGTGAACTTCTCGCACGGTTGATTGACACTTTTGAGCCTAAGATTTAATTAGGAAGCTGTTTGGTAAACTTGTTATTAAATCGTAGAGAAAGAACCTCTTTATGATCCAATCAGAAATCCCAAAATTAAGAAATGACATAGTTAGACACGCCGCAATGATACTTGCTTTAAAAGAGACACCCCAATATCACTGACTTACAACAGCAGAAGAATAACAGTAGTACAGTAGTTAAGCATGTAATAATGATCTAAGAACCGAGTACATATCAGTGTAGTTAAGATGTTTTGTAGATAAAAGATGGATTTTTTTTTTTGAAAAAAAAATGAGAAAAAGAGTGTGAATGAGAAAATGATGGAAATTGACATGTACTGTATTCATCTTGCACCACCTGTATTGTATGATATTAATTTATGTTGGTTTTTTTTTTTAATGAATTGTTATATAACTTTGTTTTCTACACATTATAGTATATTTTACCATTATCGTATGTTAAAAAATAAAAATTGAAAGGGATGTAATATAATATTTCACTTATAACTATTGGAATTTGTATACTGTCGATACCCATTCGCCTGTCTAACGTCTCAACTTAGCTTAAAAGCTTAATAGCCCATTTGAGTACACTGATCCTGCAATTATACTTTGATTTGTGTTTATAATATATGTATAAATATATATCAAAGAAAGGTAAATACTGTACAGTTTTCGAATAAAGGACATAATACATCGTGTAGCATACAGTAGCTCTCGATGTATGTAGCCCTATAAATATATCCTGTCAGAGGCATTTTATTACACAATTTCCTTATTCATTTATTTATAGGACTACATTCGTTTAGAATTCGTTTTAGAAACACTGACCCTCCAATTATACTTTGATTTGTGTTTATAATATATGTATAAATATATATCAAAGAAAAGTAAATACTGTACATTTTTCGAATAAAGGACATAATAATACATCGTGTAGCATACAGTAGCTCTCGATGTATGTAGCCCTATAAATATATCCTGTCAGAGGCATTTTATTACACAATTTCCTTATTCATTTATTTATAGGACTACATTCGTTTAGAGCTACAGTATGCTACACGATGTATTATTAATCTTTTGACTTAAATTTTGAAGTAACTGGCATTACAGAAACATGGTTAATGGTAATGGTTGGAGATTTATATAGCGCATAATACATGGTCTCTATCTTCTTCATTCTTCCATTCTAGTACAGACCATCTTTTTGGTGTAAAGTATTTTCGTACTGGGCGAGAGCAGGGCTGTGAGATGGACCAGTACACCGGGGTAACCCCCTACTCATCTCGAAAGATGTACTGGGTTCTTCATACTGCACATGAGCCATTTGTATACACTGGGCCTACGGTTTATAGTCCTTATCCAAGAAGACTTAAGCTACGTTCACATCAAGCCCGGACAAAAAAATCTTTTTGATGTGAACGGTCCAATTCTTTACTACTGAACCCATTTTTTTCATGATTTTTTTGTCCGGGCACCGGACCAGGTCCGGGCTTTGATGTGAACGTAGCTTTATCCCACCTCCAGAACCATTGCCGTTTGAATTGCCTGCTCTTTGGCAATTTATAAACTTCTGCCAACAATGTTCCACACTAGTTGTAAGATGGTTTTATTGTTTCACTATAACACTCTCTGGTTATCATTTTTTTTTCGCTTTATTGCATTTTACAAAAAATGATGTAGACTACTTCACAACATCTATAGTCATATAGATATATATACATTATATATATACACAGTATTATTTACAAACTTATTTCACATGGAAACTTATACATAACAAGAACAAATTAGATCTGATAAACTGATACAATATGGTTACTGAAGCTGGGAAGTCACTGCATCGTGCGACGGTCGTACAAACTCTCCTCCCGTTGAGCGCTGGACAACGCAGCGCCATTTGTTGCTGGCAGTCTGAACGGATTGCCATTAAAAGCAATTTGTTGCGCGCCGTCGTGGTGCTACGTTCTCCGTAAAATCGCGTTCCCGACGACCGTAGCGAGTGCCCAGCTTAACCTTGAATGTTGTCTTAAGTTTACGATGGAAGTTCTTTGTTTGCAGTTGATACAATAATTATGGTTTATTTTATTAACATTATATAACTGTAATTTTTATAATATAAAAATAAATAATAATATGACTGTTGTTATTAAAGGTCAAGCTTACAAATTGGATGAAATGGCACCCCACCACCATTCTCTTTGCATCAGCACATGGGGACATTAGACATAACATTAATGTTCAAGTATTCATCCTACCCACTAGTTCTCTTCCTGCCACACCTCAAAAATATCTTTTGAAATTATTGTTATAACCTTATGTAGACGCCAGAGTCCTATCACAATTCTTTAATTTCTATGGATAAGAACCCTCTTTTGACGTATTTACAAGATAGAATTCTACTTCAAAGACATTTTAAGCAGATGTTAGAACATGCTACCATTTTCTGTTATAAACATTCTGCTAAACAGTAGATTTCACTTATACAAGAACCCACATGACAATGAAGTAAACATTCTTAAAACGAATCAGAACAGCGTCTCCTGCAGTGATGGATCCAGAAACTTGCCGTCAGGGGTCCGACATGTCTGACAGGCTCAGGGGCCAGGAATATGTGATGTAGTTGGATTTACTGTATATAATGCCTTTTTTCAAAGTCTCAAAGCATTCGAGGTGTGAACTAGCTCGAGTAATAACTTAATGCTCCCTTGGGGGTCTCTTCGTGTCTCAGCTACCCGGTAAACTGATACCAGCTATCTCTCGTTTGTCACAATCCCTACTAGGGATCATGAGAACAGGCTTTTTTAAGGCTTAGTATTGCTGAGGATTGCGCTTTAAAGATCAAAAATAGGGATTGGCAATCAAAATAATGTTACTTGGATAAGCAAATTAATATTCTTGGGCCGACGATGTCATAATGGCTTCGTACGATAGGGGTCCAGGCCTGTCCGACGGGGGAAAATTTACCCGATTCCCTGCTAGCCTCACCACCTGTAGTCTGTTTTGATCCAAAAGTACCCAAATTATCTAATAAATAACAGCAGGCCATATTTTTGCCCGTGTCAAAATCCAAATGTCCAGATAAGTGAGTTGCTGCTTCCCAAAAATTTATTTAGGCATAGATGATAAAAAATGCTATGTCTCTTTTGGAATCAACATTTCCTCCAACATTTGATTGCATTTACATGCTTTGTGCGATAATCTAGCAGGGTGGAAAACTCTCCACCCAGAATCATTTCCATTGCAGTGAAAGAATTCTTGTTCAGGATCAGGAAAACATCTGCAAAATTGTGTCTGTGTAATGTTTTGTTCAAGTTCTTCTTTTTGTCCTTAGTGAAAAGGCCATTTAATAATATTGTTTATTTTGCTTTCTCTTATTTCTTGGTCAATCCAGCTTTTTTTCAAAAACGTAATTGGTAAGTACTCCTTCTGACTTGTACAATAAAAATAACAGCACACAATAATTTCCTTAAGCAGAAAATGCATCTCATGATCACTACACCAATCAAGCTTCAACTGTAATTGATATTGCCTTGTTGAAAAAAGAATTTTAAAAAAAAATGCATCATTGTCTTCAAAACTTAATCAACCACTAGTCATACAACATTGGCAGGCATATCTTGCCAGCGAATAACAGTGAAACAATTGTCAGGAATATTGACATGATAAACATAATGTAAGACGGGCCAACAGACACGCTATCTGGAAGTTTGTAAGGTTCACCACCAATCTCTTCAACGTAAAATCCGGTGGGAAATATCAACGCAGCAATGCAGAAAACTACCACTGAAAAAAAAAAAAAAAAAATTGTAAATGGAAAATATTTAATTTGGTTTACCTGAAAAGACATACAGGTGGCAATAAACAAAAAAATAAACACAAATACAGGATCAAATACACAGAGACTTGGGGCATAACATAATTGTAGAAGCAGTTGGAGCATCGGTTGTGGCTCCCAACCTCGGGATCAGGGGTTCGAAACTCTGGCTGTGCAAATCACTTGTGTCCTTGGGCAAGGCACTTTATCTACGGTTGCCTCTCCCCACCCAGGAGTTCAAGTGGGTACCTGGTAGGTTCCAACACAACTGCGCTGATTGCTAGCTGCAATATTATGGAATAATAATATAATTTAATTTAATAATTTAATTTGGTGTTGAGTATGTGTTCCATATGTGTTTGATCCAATGACTGGGGTAGTAATGTGAAGTGCTTAGAAGCTTTGTGCATGAAGCGCTATATAAGAGCGACATATTATTATTATTATTATTATTATTTATTTCACCAATGTTTTTGAAGCTAGCTTTTCCTATATTAGGATAACAATAAATGACGCTAAATTTTTTATAAAGGCGAATTGTAACTTGGGACCCTCTGATTATTGTTTCACCAATGAAGGAGACTGACATTAAGAAGACAGGTGAACACAAAAGTGAAGGCAAGAGGAAATTTTAGTTATCTTCTAACCAAAGATAAAAAATATGAGCATTGCCATTCGAAAACCAACATACTGTCAATAATTATTAAAATAAGTAATTAGGCCAGACTTTATTTATTCCTTGTCTTGCGTACTTATTTTTTCAAAGATTATCAGAGGAGGATGGAATAAAAATAAAATTAAATGCTTAAAATTTATATAATTAGGAAGAAATATACATATCTTACGCTGGAGATTTCAAGGCAGCAGAGGGGGTAATACAAATAAAGAAAAAACTTTTTTTTTCTGAAATTTCCACTTTTTCGTGGCGGCGGGTACGCTAATTGACCAAAAATAAAATTTTATTTTTATTTGGAATCATCAATATTTGCGGGTTTGCTAAACCACATGTGTATAAAAAAAGTCCCACTTTATAATATGCGGCAGTATTGCATAGTTTATTACAGAGAAATCATAATACTTTTACTCCTAACTATGGCAATAGCAAGACTATTCCAGTGAATGACCCTTTATTTGAAAGTCTAACAGAATAGTAAATAAAAATGTTCTGTTGGTTAGCCTTAAAGTGTTGCCTTTTTCATGGAAAACGTGTCGGCCAACAACCGTCGAGGCAGTATGTGCTCGGCTTGACAGAATTTATTAAAGAGTTCATTGTGAATACTAACTTCCAACAAAGGCTGTCCACCTAGCAATTTTCAACATTTCCACCTTTTTGAGTGAGTAGAACAGCAATAAACAGGTCGCAGTTAGACAAATTACACCCACGATGATGAAGGAGAGAGTGACTTGCCATTCGGGGCAAAGACTTGGCGGCAGACATATTGGCTTCCTGCCATATATAGTCTGACATTGTTTAGTTAGGCCAAACTTCATGTTTCCTGCAAGAAAATAATAATATAATTTAATAATACCATTAATTTAATATTTTTCACTTTTCACACTCTAGCGCCTCATAAATTAAACTTTTCATTTGCAGGAAGATGCCAAAAACTTTTTAAGAAACAAAACATGCTAATTGCATTTTGCCTAATTTTTGTATGTTCTAATTCAATAATCGTTAAACAAATGCATCGTGACCCACTTGTGGGTTGTAACTTTGACAAAAAATCATGTATCAGCATTAAGATAAAAACACAGTGTACCATATCTGGAATAAAACTCAGCTATGGAATATTTTTTATTATACTATTGACATTGACACGCTATCGTAATCATCAAAGATAACGTCAGTACAGTCTACATGTACTATCTCGAAAGAAGCCTATATTATTATCTTGATTACTGCCATGTGCTTCTTTTTGAGATGGGCTTCTTTATTCTTGTCGAGACTAATTCTTCAATCTGCGCATTTTGGAACGTAAGGGCTGATTTCCAAGCACATTTTGTTGAAAATTATGTTTTGACCTAGTAGGTCTAACTTTAATATATAAGTATAGCCAATGTATATGCAGTAATTACGATTATGTGCACTTACTGTATTTTCCTAGCGATTTTCCACGCAAATTTGAGCTGGTTTTTTAGGTATCTGCGCAATTAAATAACTTCACAATATGGAGGCCTATGATCTAGGGGGCCTAGACCTACCTTACCTTTGCTCGTAACTACAAACAAAATACATACGAAATACTAATACACAGGGCCTAGGCCTACGGTACTTTATTTATTGCAATTTGATATAAAATACAATACAATTTGAAGTTTCACCATCCTAGGCTAGTCCTGGTAAGTTGCCTCCCTACCTACCTAGGACTAGCCTCTAGGCGTCCGTCTTCGGCCACTAAACTAGACCCTCCTAGGAAGGCCTGGCCCTAGTACAGTTGGCTAGGCCTAACCTAGCATGCTCTCTAACATACACAGGCTGCGAGGGAGGCATAGGCTAGGCTACTACTAGGCTAGGCCTAGTAGTAGTAGTAGTACTAGGCTAGTACTACCTAGGCCTAGTAAGCCTAATCCTAGCTAAGCCTAGGCCTAGGCCTAACGCAGAAGCCTCTTCCTTGATGTGATAACATTAACAGCAAATTCTGAGTCATTCACTAACCATAATCTTCGGAAATAACCCATTCTGGATTAACTAAACTTGCAATTGCAAACACGTCGGCTACTACGAATAGTACTGCGGAAATTAATACTAATTTATCCATTATTTTCATCAACCCAGCCTACTACAGTACTCTACCACCCTCACACCTAGGCTCAGCTTGACGCTTTCGTGGTAAACAGCGACCTCTACGTCAAACAGCAGTACCTATGGCGCGCCAAAACACCCCCAGCAACTACCGCTAAAGCTAAAAGTTCCTACTGCACCCAGACTATGAGGGCGCTCGCAGGGTGAATATGGACTATGAGGGCGCTCGCAGGGTGAATAATATGGATGCGCTTTCTTCGGTTTTTTTTCTCTGAAAATCACAGTAGAATATCTCTAGTTGTGGCTACTACTCTATTTCTGACTGTTGGACAAGCAAAGCAATCTTTACTACAAGATTTGCTAAACAATCTGTAAGTAAACTTCAACACATTAAAAAATTACAGTTGTTGCTGCTAGGCCTACATTACATGTAACCTAGTGTAGTCTAGCCTAGGCCTACCCTAGGCCCTAGGCCTATGTTAGGCTAGGCGCTGTTCGATCATTTCGGCCGCCTCGCCAAATGTATGGAACGCCAAAAAGGCCGCCGAATACACAACAGCCGCCAATGAGAAGAACGTAGTCATACAATAGCTGGATACGTCAGTAACAAAAAGGAGAAAATATGTAAAATTGTAAGCCTAGGCCTACAGTGAATTTAAATTAAGAATTTATTTACCGGTATAAAAACATAACGTATTGACACAAGAATATATTAAAACTACAATTTTTTAAAGATCCAGTAGAATGTGTGTTAATAATACAATGTGGCGTGGTCAAGCCAAATCAGTCGCTTGGCGGAAATTCGGATTTTGAGAATTATACAATTATTTAGTAATGTATTCGCTTTACAATGGTGGAAAAATAAATGCAATCCGACTTTTCGTTATAAAGTTATAGAAGTTTAAATATACCCGTTTGGGAGAAACCGTAAAAACGTTTTCGAGAAATTCACCTTCGAAGTTTACCAACGCGCTGAGACGCTGACAGCGCGGAGACATTCCTTGTTCCACGAGTATAGCTGAATACCTAACCTAGCAACAGGGGATAGCATTCTTGAATTTGGTCAAGTAAATATAAATACATTTTTCTATAAACAACACCCAGATTTTCCTTTGTAACCCAAAGCAGCTTTGAAAGTTATTTGAATTTGAATTCAGCCGAAAACATTAGTGATACATTCGTAATGCTGATCAGCGATACTTGATAGGCAGTCTACGTTAAGCTAAACCTAGGCCTAACAACGGGAAGTTAGCGTTGCTGAAGGTTTTGAAATTACAAGATATTGTTGAATCATTGTTCACTGATTTGTTGGTACAGTAGAACCTCGATTTTACGTACGGTACGGGACCGGAGGGCGTACGTAAATCGGGGGATTCGTAAAATAGAGGTTGGGTTAAATTTGTGGTAACCTTTGACCTAATATGTACGTAACGCTCAATATACTTATGTATGAACGAACGATGTTACCTAGCTAGGCTAGACTAAGCCTCTAGGCCTACGAATAAAACCATGTGTTTAGTGTTTTTATTCATCACTTTACGATGTCATAATAAAGTGTTCCAATAAAACCGTGTGTCTAGTGTATTAATTCATCACTTTATATCTTTTATTTAACTAAAGAACATGAAAATATTGTAAGATTACCTATACGACAAAGGTATAACTTGGGAATTCCCCTTCAAGCCTATTTTAAACAACAGAGCTGTGGTGTTGTCTGGGCCTGTTGAGACAAACTAAACCCATGTGCGCTGCACTGGGCGAGCCAACCAATTAGCGTTCGTGTACGTGAAACAGCAACCATGTGCTATGCACTGGGCGAGCCAACCAATTAGCGTTCGTGTACGAAACTATGTCTACTCAGCTTCGTGTGGAAAATTCGACTAGACAAGTGTTTCCATGGTTTGCCACACGAAGCTAAGGAGGAAAGCAATTATTTTGAGCACCAT